TTCGTTTGTGACTTGGAATTAGAAAATCCATGACTGTGCCATGGGCATATATATATGTTGCGTGATCACATATAGGGAAACCATCGAATATATTTGTTTTGACAAAAAATAGCTAAACCAAAAATATTGTGCACCGATTAGTAATCTGTTAAATTAAAATTATAAATTTTTGTACATGAGAATAGTAAAAAATATTATTAAAAATAATTATAAACTAGCTTGAGTTAAGTTGGATAAATCAGCTAGTATCAGTGATTTAAATTGTATAATACATATTGTATAATATTGAATTATAAAGGCGTATTTTACGCTATATATAAAAAAGTAAAATACAAGTGATATAAAAAAAAAAATCAGTGATAATTGATAAATGGTAGATAACAGTGATAAGTGATACCAGTAATTAAATGACGGAGCACGGCTATACAAGTAACATGGTTATTGGTAAATGGTTGACGGTTGGCATTGATTATAGAAAAGAGATTATAAAGAATAAACATCATTGTCCATTATAAATAACTATTCTAGCCATAGACGATAGATCTTTTAACTTAAGTTCCATAAATTCTAGTCGAAATATTTATAAATCATAATGATACGTGCGATAAGTGCTAAGTCATAAACATAAGTCAAAATCGTAGAAAGTAGACCGCAGTATAATATTATACTAAATTCTATTAATTCTATTTAATTACCTATAGGCTACAAGTTACAATTAATTGAAATTCCTAAACGTTAGTTACTATTTTTTTTTTTTTACTATGGGTCGACCTGATAAATGTCTAATATTATTGATTTTACATTCTTATTACACTCTGCCAGTTATATATTTAACAATTATGTAAATACCATACAATTTTTGTGAAATTCTGTATTATACATGTATAATACACGTATTATATAATTAAAAAATAAAATATGGTATTTTCACATCACTGGCTAGTATATATATATATTTATGAAAAATACTTCACTGATGAATGGAATCAGATAAATTATAATAAATCACGCCAAATTGAATAACTTGATTAGTAATGGACCAGTAATTACTAGTAATGGAAGAAATTGAGATTTTAAGACGAAATTTTGATGGGTTGAAGATTGAAAAAAATTATTGAATTTTTTTGTTTTAACTAGATTCGAATACTAATTAGAACTCTATGATAAATAATGTAATTTTCTTCAAATTTGAGTCATTGAAAACAATCGAAGGACGTTTGACATTTCAATAGTAACCAAAAATTGACTTTTATAATGTATGGTTATCATACTTCTCACATAATTTGAGAATACGAAAATATAACAATAATGTGACTGCAGTATACATTCAAAATTGTTTCTTACCATACGAGTTTTGTTTTCAACATTTTCCTGAACGGTTGATACACACATAACACAAGAAATGATTAACGATAATGTAACAAATGTATGTTTACATATTGCTATATGTGCGCCGCGTGCATACATTTTTCGAAATATACATTATAATAATAAATATTATGATTTGTTGCGTGCATGTCCGTTTGAATAGATGGGGACAAAACGGGTACCAAAAAGGTTAGGATGGTTCCACAAAGGTCAATAAAACAAAACTTAATAGCTGTCATATCGGACTAAAGTTCAAAACTCCGATGTTCCATTAAATTAAACAGCGTACCTATATACTGTAGCTGAACAATGATTCACTCGAACCGAAGGCATGTTGGATACGGGATAGTGCGGCGGCGGTTGTGTCGCAGTCGGATTACTTTCGTTGGTTTCGCACCGCCATAACATTATTCGCCAGTATTAATTTTAGAAGACACGGGACGGAGAGGAAAAAATATCATATTAATTGTATCGTCTTGACAACAACCGGTGATTTATTATCAGCGACGCTCATGTAATGTTCCCGATGGAATTTATATTACTCGGTAATAATTTCCGTTTTCGTGTCTTGGCCCACCGAAAAAAGAAAAAAAAGAAACGAAATCGCGCTGCACGAAGCGCGCAAAAAAAGAATTACTAAGGGTTTAATTTATTAACAAGCAATTTCCACTCTCACGTTGCTGTATCGAAGAAATAAATTGAAAGACAGTGACTAGAGAAATATATATGTATAATAAAACCAATAAATGGAAACGGCGCAAGCGATGGTGGACGATGATGCAGATTATAAAAATTCCCAACGATGCGGTCATTGTGTTTGGAACATCCGATACTTGAGGTAGAAGACAAAAAACTAACAATCATAATAAAACGAGAACTCATATTTGAATATAACTTCTTGCGTAAAATAGTAAATATACTATTACGTATAGTTTATACACAAATGGAAAACTATTGGTTTTTCTATTGTATCACTTTACACGCGCACATATACGTATACAACTATACAAATATCGTATGTTCGTATGTATTTCCCTTCTTTTTTTTTTTTTTAGTAAAATAGAGAATGTACAGTCATTTCAGCTTTTGAACTTTTCAATAAAAATGAGGAATAAAGAAATTCACCTAAGTATATGCTCGGCAGCATGAGGAATATAAGCAATATAAGGGCAGATGAAACATTTGCTCTTCTGAGCAGAAAACCCTTTTTCAGAATTCAAATGATCGGTATTTGAATCTTATTCTATTGTCTTTGAAGCAAAAAAATAAATAAAATGTAAAAACACACACATAGATAATATATATTTATTTATTTATATTTACCAAAACTTTTTTCTTTCTACATTACAAATATCTTTGTTTTAAAATACACCACGCATTCAAAAACATCGGTGTTAGTCCATACAGGAAAAATATATATCAAAAGTCGTCTATAGGAACAGAAAGTTATTTATTTATTTATTTTTTTTTTTATGTAATTTAAGTATTTATCAAACACTATTGTAATGAAAACTATATATAGTTTTATAAAACTCATGAAAAAAGATAAATGTTTATCGTTATAGTATTAGTGGTACATATAGAATAGAAACGTAACTTGGAGGAAGCATTACAAAGTTCGAAAAAACATCTGTGTTCACTAATATGAGTTAAAATAGACACTTAATAATATTATTATATCCTGAACGCATTTTTTTCCTTTGCTGACATACACGTTTTGTACCGTAGCTGACGTTCTACACTCTGTATTGGTTTGAATTATATCGTTTTTGAACATTCCAAACACTTGTTATATATATATATATATATATATATATATGTATATTTAATGTACTCTTACGTAATAACCGAAGTACACTCGAATTGAATGATAACTAGGAAAAATATCGTACATTTGCGGTGCATGGGAACACGGAGAACAGGATTTATATAACAGTTATATGGGGGAAAATGTCATTTTTAGCAGAAGCACGTTAGTTAAATAATTCATCCTTTTCCTTCCCAAACTATGGTATACATACACACACACACAAACACGTACAAGCGTACACCACGTGACTATACACTACATGTGTAGTGACTACACATATCTCTTAGCTCGTCAGGTGTAAGTAACCTTTTGTACACAGGTTTTTCGTATATTTTTGTTATACATTATGTAGGGGAATGCGCGTATTATATTATGGTGCATAGCCGCAAAGCAATACAGCTCGCATGTTATAGAGTACACACACGCGCACCTCTTCCAACCTAGCTGCCTGTCTACCTATGCGATGCCAACGAATTTTTAAACATATCGCCATGAGTAACCCTGATATTATTGATTCACATTATGAAACGATACGAAATAATAACGCCATGGCGTGAAAAAATCGTTGGAATTACGTATCTGTAAAAGATTTTTAAAATATTTACAAATACATTCTATTGAGCTGAAAAGTTCTGCGCGGTGCGGTGAAGACCCAACTACATATGACTAAACATCCGTATCATCATTCGATTAGAAAACCACCTTTTTTTCGAAATTCTTGTAATTTAATTATGTAAGGGTCCCATCACTTTTTTGTGTAATGTTAAGTACACCATTGTGGTTAAATGTTTAAAAAATATTTCGATCGAAATAATAATCATATTTGAACGTTTTTCAAATCACAATAAAGAGACAAAATAAGTGATCTGTTTATTTATTGTATGGGCAATAACTTATGATTTATATAAAATTCCTATTTTCGAACGTTTCAAAGTGTGTATAGATTTATATTTAGCTGGGTGAATTCAACCGCAGTCACTGAAAGTACTTTTGTGCAGTTTAATACAATTTTTTGAATCTAATAATATTTTTTTCTTTTCTCATGATGACTGGAAACATTTTAAATTATTTAAATGTATAATAAAATAATAAAAATAACTATTTACTATACTAACTATGAATAACTATTAGTTTTTTTATAATACAGCGGTTGAAGTCACTAATTATTTGGAGTCAAAAATTAAATATTTTTTTGAATCATAATCAATTTTAAATAAAGCATTATAATTATTAAAATTATATATTAACCCTATGGATATTAATACATACATCTAATTGACAATTTGACGATATATATAAATTAATACTTGTTTTTGAAATCGTTTCCATAGCAATTAAATACCTATAATGAAACGTAATAAGACCAATGCCCCGTATACAATTGGTCTTAGAATGCTGTCAAATGAAACCGTTTACTGTAAGTGGATTCAAAGTTATCCCAACATGCGAGTATAAATTTTTTTTTTTTTTTTGGGTTTAATTGGGCCTTGAAGACCATCCCGTCTCACAAACAGGCTTCCATCCTTCTCTATACAATGCGAGTATAAAATATATTTATGAGAAATCATATTTCCTTACGGCTTATTGATGGTACATGATCAACTAATTTAGTAGAATAAAAATAATTATTGTTTAAAATCACCACTGACTACTAGGCAGGATAATAAACTGTTTCCTATAAAATGTACCAATGTCTCCTGCGATATACTCGTATTATTTTTATTAGATTCTTCGAGAGACATTTTCTATTACAAGCTTATTTTTTTTAATGCATGTCAATTAAATAAAATAAAATAAAAAGGCGGTATCGACGGTCACTTACCTTCGGATGTGCTCGTCGTGGAAATGCCACTTTTGGATCAATCTGTAAATAAAAAACAATAAATTTACTATAGTATATTATATAACTGAAAATCATTAATTTTTCCATAATTTACTGTTATCAGTAATAATGTCCCATTAACAATTTCTATGCTATACGATTACAAAAATAAAAATGCAATTTTCTTCGTGGCAATAGTTAATTCACAGTTATATTGATAAAAATAAAATACGGCGGAAAAGTGTAACTGAGAGGAGAAATATTTTAGTACTTATTATCTAATCTCGACAAAATTAATAAATATTAATCATGGTCATCAAATTTGAGCTGTTTAAAACGGAACACTAATTTTTTGGAAACAAGTAAATATTCTGTGGGAGTTCAAATTTTGCCGGAAACAGAGGAGCGGGGAACACTTAAGGATCATAGATTCGAATCCGTAGTTGACTGAAATCATTAAGTTTTGTATATACATTAAGAGGAATCGAGAGGATAATAGTATTGCATACGTTGGTGTTGCAAATTTTCAATTCTGACCTTGTAAATTGCCTTAAACCACTCGAAACCATCACTGTCGGATATAAAGTCACCGTGTTTTCCATAGGCATCCGTTGAAGGATTTATATGGTAGAATAGAATGTGGAGAAAGGGATTTGAAAAATGTGGAGATAAATAGTTAAAACCGTCACAAAAAGACTAGTTTAATAATTGAAAACTGGCGTACACAAAAGGGCTGGGAAGTACGTGACTTCTGTGAATGACAGCAACTTTTCACCGGTGTTCATCACTGATAACAACTTTACAGAATATATCCGATTATGGGAGTCGATGTGGAATTAATACGGACTTCTTTGGCTAGACTATCGGTGATTATCTGACAATCTCATTGGCTGGAGCCTCCGCTTTGCTGTCTTCATCATAATCCATCGATGACACGGTGGCCACGACGATGGCGATAGTAAACGATCACTTTTTTATAATGACTTGAAAGACCTTTAAAAATTTTGTGCTAGGCTAGGCGTTGGGGATCTTGTTCACTGTGACTTGATTGCATCCTTTATGTTGAACCCAACCGGAAATAAATAACTGACATCCGGACTTGGTATATCGTAAACGCGCCCGCAGGATTAAAACGATAAAAAAAAAAAAAAATGAAAAAGAAATCCGTATCCGACCAAACGAAAAGCGTACAAAAGGATCAGAATAATTAGCGATCGGAAACAATTTGAATACCATATATATTTTATTAATTTGAATATATTTTGTAGAAGAAAAACTATTCAAAATAGTATTAAAATATACTATATATGTACAGGCTAAATTAAACAATTATAAAAAAAGGAATAAAAATCTTAATATAATGAATATGTTAATCGATGGAAAAAATATTATTTATTTTTAACTGATTAATAAAATACAGTAAAAATAAATCTGTGGATGCCATATTATATATGTATTATACAATGTTAAATTATATTTAATTTAAATATAATAAATAAAATTTATTTAACAAATTAAAAACGTATTTAAAGATAAAAAAGATAAAATCACACATTGCATTTTAACTAAAAAATATATTGTAAATTATTTTATTCAAATATTATTTAAAGTGAATAAATTATATGATATTAAATAATGTAATGTGAATTATATTTTATTTAAATAAAATAAAATTTAAAATAATTTATAAACTTAGAGCTAGTAACATGATTATTCAAAGACATTAGTTTGGTTTTCCAATAAATACAATTTTTCTTTTGTCGAAATTACAGTAACATTTCTATGTACGTTTTATTTAAAATATATTTAATTTGTTCGACGTATTGAAGAAAATTAATATCAATATTATAGTGTAAGATAGTATCTAAAAAAATAATTTTTACATGAAAAGAGAAAGTCTTTGGTGGTCATTATTACGCTATATGGTTCTTAAAAAACAGGGGAGAGGACGTAATGAACTTATTCGAAATGACTCGTTCAAGTGGGCTACGTCGAAATAACTGACAAAAGAAAATTTCCCTCGATGTCTACACAAGTGGGTACTTGAAACCTATGTCTTTGGATGCCAAGTGGATTTTTTTCAGTGCCTACCTATCCTCTAATACCCGTGGAATTTCAGATTTTTTTTTCATACGCACACCCTCTGATCCAATAGACATTTTTTTAAAACGACGACGTCAAGTCTTGCCCTACTTTACAAGGACATATGAAAAAAAAAAGCGACGACAGAGAGTACTCGACCTGTGGCTATGGCAACACCCTCTACTCTAAAACATGACAGTGTGCGCTCTCTCAAATGTTCCGCAACTCAAACCAAAAAGAGAGAAAGAGAGAGAGAGAGAGAGAGAGAGAGAAATAGAGAAAGAAAAGAGAAGTGAGTAAGAGAAGAGAGTAAGAGATAGAGAGAAACGTTGTCGAGTCGGCAGTATTGTCAAGTGTGCATGTCTAGTTATGCGCGTTACAAAGGCTATGATGTGAACTTAAACAAAAGGCCTCTTCGAGTATACATATATATATTATATGTATGGGTATATTTGCGTGTATGTGCATATGCGTTGCATGTATACATTTTTTTCGTTATATTATACACCACCAGAACAACGCCATAACAGCAGTGTCTCATTACTCGGGTTCCTGGAATACTACTAGTAAAAACACCTAACCCACTAATCTGTCATACAGCCACACATGTTTGCAAATGTCACGTTTCCACTCCAGAATAATAAGGTTCAGTAGATTATCTTCTCTTTTTTTTTCTTCACTACTTCCCTCTTTACTACTCTTGGTCGTTCTCTCTCTCTCTCTCTCTCTCTCTCGCTTCATTGTATTGTAAGTTCCATTATTCGCATAATATTTAACGTTCAATGCTTGGAAAAAACAGAGTAATTCAAATAAACAATAAAAAAAGTAGGAATATATAAAAAAAATTGTATTATAGTGTTCACTCATTGCCCTATAATAGGTTTATATAGTACATATTATATCAGCAGAAAATATTTAAATTTGTTTCAATGCAAGTTGTATATGGTTTCTTTAAAGTATTAATACTCCTTCGTATGTACACGATTAAAGTATATAATATGATTTCAAAAACGAATTGCATGTAAAAATATATATTTTTATTTGAAATAAATGATGTAAATATTGTCGTTATAAAAATACAATATCTTACAGGACTTAATTATACATATTTCTGTCAAAAATTGATAGTCTTATTATTATATTTTAACGTGGTTTTCCAAATCAAATATTTTTTATTAAAATAAATATATACGAGAAAGGAAAATAAATAATATTTCTTAAACAGCACATTTTGATATAAATACGATTTAAAAGGCATAATTTTCATGAAACAATTTTAAAAATATGAAAATAACAGCAACCTAAAATGATCCATCGTCAATTTCGAACTGTGGATTAATAATGTGTGTTGGTTAGTTTATCAAAACCAATATTATTTTTAAATATAAATTTTGAATTTTTTCAAATACCTATAGCTTTAAAAATATTTTTTTTTATGCAGTTGCATCGACAGTTTAATAAAAATGGAATAAAAAATTGAAATAACATAATCTTTTTTTGAAATACAAAAAATGTAAAATACTGATATAATAAAATGTTAATATATCTGTTACGAGGAGTAATAAATTATTTATAAATTAAATGAATAATGAATTATTCATTTAATTTGTAAATTAAAATAAATTCTGAAGAAGCATCAAACCCTTAACTGTAATGTACTACATTAAAAAAAAAAAAAAATAAAAAAATAATTCTAACAATTGCTTAGGAATTTATCACTAAGAGATTTTTATTTTAAATTTTATAAGTTTACTGTTGATGATATGTTTCAATTAAAACTAACTTACATATCCATATCAAGATAATATAAAGATAATAATAATATTAATAATATTATCAAGACTATCCTTTTAAAAGTTTAGAGCAATTTAATCATCAACATTCCAACCTAATAAATATTGAAAATATTGGGATATTTCTATAAACCAACATGACCAATTTCACAAGCAAACAGTAACATATTTTTATGTCAAATACATAAATTACCTTATAAACATGTAGAAAGGAAATGATTTTGATATAAAACAATATATTATTTAAATGTCCAACTATTAATATTTTATTTTTAAGAAATATGAACTTAAATTTAAAAATAACTTAATCATCAAAATTGTTATAATTAATTTTGTATATTGTTATTAATGTTACTACAGCTATATTTATCTAGTGAAATGTTTTAAGCAATTTTAACAAAATAAACAATTTTACATTTATTTTGCATTTATACATATTATATACATAATGCATATAATTAAAATCTATAAGGATAAAGTTAATAAGAGACAATTTACATAAATGATAATACGTATTACGATTTCAGACCATTAATTTATATTTTCTTATGAATAATGATGCTAAATCTTGATAACTATATTTATTTAGCATCGATATGAATAAAAACTAATCGTAATAAATTAATATGTTCTATAAAAATGTTTACTTATATACAACGGTTTTGAATATTAAACATATAGAGAGAGAAAATAATTTAGAAAATGTTGAGATACTAACAAAAAATAATAAAATTAATGGTACAAAAGTTATAAGTTGTCGATTAAAAGTTAATTTGAAGTGAAAAAAAAATTGTAAATATTTGGTATGTATATATATATATATATTTATGAACAAGAAAGAATAAAAATAGGTAAATGATGCAATTAATTTTGATTTACAGTTTGATATAACCGACATTTGTTGTAAAAAAAAAGGAAAATATTACACTAAAAAGTTTTTTTCTTATGCCCGAAATAATATTGTGAGACTTTATTCACAAATGTCCGGCTAAGATATAAACTAGACGGTGGCATGGTACTGGTAATCGTATATTAAAACCAGGGTACGACATACTCCATCGTTACTTCTGGTGGTATAATAATTCAAAATGAAATACAACCTTAAAGCATTTTGTCGGCGAATGGTTTTATAGTAAAGTGTACATGTTTGAATGAGTGTGTGTGGGT